AGCCATCTAAACCCTGCAATCTTAAAAGCAGATTGGACTTTTATCTTCAGAAGGAAGTTCTGTGTAATAACATTTACTTTTCTTGCAGGTGTCAGTGAAAGGGCTGAAGGATTTCGCTCCAGCTGCGTCGTGGTTTCGTTTACCCCTCAGTAAAAACAGACTTTGGGGATTTAATCTGGTAGTTTTTCTCAGAAGAAACTAAGATTGCTTGTCTACAGATTCAGAGATGGAAAGTTCTGGTTTAACTGCCTTTTTTTTTTTACTTTCTTCTTCATTTTTTTCAGGGTTCTGCGCTCGTGGTATGTCCTAATTAGTTTTTAGGTAAATTAATCTTCAAGTGACCCTAGGAGGTGGGAAGTTAATTCTCACACATTCCCTGTTTCTTTCTGACTGTCTAATTATTCATGAGTGTTGTAGGGGTTATGTTCTAGAAAGGCAACCCAGCATGGGGTTAAGCAGTGCCCAAACAGAGGAAGAAGGGTAAGAAATTACCATATTTTGACAGGCACACAGCTGCTTTGAGGTTGTCATTCTCCAGTTTTCATTTCTGTCCTGTTGGTGTTGTAAATTATTAATCCAGCAATGATTACCTGTACAACCCTCTGAATTTCCAAAGAGCTCTGTTAATTTGAACTAACACACCTGTCATGTGCTCAAGAGAAGTTAGGAACTCAGAGCCAGATTTTCCCTTGCGTTCTGCTGCTGCATTTTGCTCATGAGTCAAGGAGTTTGGCAGGCAGGCAGGAGGATAATTTTGCTGTGAATTAAGCAGGAAAGACTTGTGATACAGGCTGGGATAAAGCTTTTTAAGAACAGAGGAAAATGCTGGCTCGGGTACCCATAAAGAACCTGTACCCAACTCAGAAACAAAGTGAAAATTCTGCAAGGCACCACTGTTTGAAGGACAAAACTGAGAGTGCCTAAAAATGATAAGGAAAGAATTTAAATAAAAAGTTTTGGGGAATGCAAGGAGTTATGAAGATAGTTGTGAAAGAAAAAAATAAATGCTGCAGAAATTTTGTAATATACTTAAAAGAGTATAATTGAATTTTGGGGATATCTAATAAAATAAGTGAACTTGGAGGATAAGTGATGTCATCAGATCATGAAAAAAGGAAGACAGGCTCTCTGGAAAGATGGAAGTTGAAGCCAGACAGGCAGGATTGGGAAAGATTTGCATTATTTTATCTTTTTCATTTGCAGTTGCTGGAGTTGTGTTTGATTTGCAAGAAGTAGAGGTGGTAAAATGTGTTCAGTGACTGGCAGAAAAAATGCCCCAACAGTACAGGTTCAATACTTACAGTCAGAATTGGGAGGGCATAAATGCCTCAGTGTAAAATAACCTTATTAATTTGGAAAAAAAAACCAAAAAACCAACCAACATGGGTTGTATTTACTTTCTCTGAGTTTTTACAGCAAAACTTTTGACTGTTCTAAAACCAAAATGTATTGGTTTAGTTTTGTTCCCTGTCAACCTTAGAGTAGTTCAAGATTGAAAGACTGAAAGAGCAAATGTAAAAAAAAATGTTTTCCCACCTTCTTACCTTTTGACCTTTTTGGAGAAAAAAAGCAAAGTGTGTCTAGGGTTGAGACACCAAAGAGATGAGCTGTGTGAGGAAGAGACACCAAGGTGAGTGAGAGGGATCTAAAACCCAAAAGTCAGCTTTTATCTGAATGCAAACTGGAACAGAGCAACATTTGAAATGGAGAAAGCTCAGCTTGACAGATTAAAATGACAGAGCTCTCACCATTTTCATGCAGGACCCTCGAGGTCTTTCTCAGTCCAGCGAATTTCAGTGTGTTTCTTGTTTGCAGCAAGTTCCAGCTCTCAGTCCCTCTGGGGCACTGTTTTCTTTCCACCACTTCTAAAGCTCGACTCTGCATCTGCTCCCTATCAAACCCACCAGGCTTGTGTTGCAGGCTTATTGTTTTCTGCTGTTTTTCCCACCTTGTACTGCAGGATCTGCTTTTTCCTCATTGATTTCTGCACTTTCAGTTGCTTTACAAGATGTAACAACTCCTGTTGGTGCCAGAGGGTCTCACCTTGGCCACAAGGATGTGAACACAAACCTTCCTCCTGCCTGCCCCGCTCAGCCTTTCAGCACAACAGAGCACACCAACCAGGCAGATCCAGATCCATCCTGTCCCTTCCCAGCACCTGCTCCCTCCCACCCTCACTTCTACACCACTGTACACAAATTATTACTAATATATTTTTTTTTATAAAAGGACCACATTAATAATTTGATAAAGCTTTCCATTATTGCTTGGTCAAAGAGCCTCTGTTCGTGACGTGATTTATCCTGTGACAGTTTTGAAGGTGGTTTTAATTGTGAATATCCTGAAGAATGGCCCAGTACTGATCACTGTAAAGAAGCAGATGAGTTTGTCCATCCGATTTTCAGGCATTCAGGTGATTCTGGAATTAATAACATCTTTGCCTGTTGGCTCAGAGAACAGAGGAGGCCACTGGATTTTCAGTGACGACAGAAGAAAAGCTGAGGATGTGGGTGCAGGAAGGTGATGTTAACTAAAATAAGTGAACAGGTAATTAACTTACAAACTCATCAATATTTCTAAGAATTATAGACAAGGCCACAGAAACAAACCAGCCTTCTCTGTGTCATTGTATTAGGAACCAGCCCAGGCAGAATTTATTTCTCAAATGGTGAATAACCCCCGATTCCACTGCATCCTCCTCTTGTAAAAATCAATGCAATAGTATAGCTTTCTTAAAAGAAAATAAAAAAAGAGAGAGAGAGAAAAGCAGCATCATATCTTGATGATTTCTTAAGAGATCTCTTCTCACAGTTATAGGTATGTTAGAAAGGAAATTGATGTATCTTCCTTTCTTCTTTGTGTGTTCTTGGTACCACAAGCTGTGCACAGCATGCTTTCAATTAATTTAAACTAACTTTCCATCTGCTCCAACAAATGTAGGATTTGAGTGAAAGACACTATGATGGAGTGACATGAAATGTGCTAATAGCAACCACTAATGTGAGAGCCAGTCTTCTGTGGAAAATGTAATATCCACAGCACTCCCTTTCTACTCCATATTAAAGGCTCACTTTAGTGAAAAATGATTATTGTTTTCAATATTTGCCTAATCAAGATGGGAAACAAAAGCCTTAGCGATGGAGGGAGTGATTTACATTTTACAGAGCACTGGTAAAGTGAGGAACAGGATGTATCAGATCGATTCCTTTTTAATTGCTGCTTTCATCAAGCTTTATGGTATGGAATTATTTCATTACGTTTCTAGACTTAAAACAAAGGCACAAAAATGCTGAATATGATTAGAACTCGGGAAGCTCTGGCTTTCTTATCAGTTTGATCAGAACACTGTGTATTTTGCAAATATTCTGGTTTGTTTTTTTTTTTTTCCTCACAAATTAAATTCCAACAGAGGTATTTAAATTAGAAGAGCCAAGGCCACAGTAAAACAGCCACAATGGCAACATTCAAGTAATGACACAGACTAAATTATAGTAACTGTGTACAGTAAAAGCCTTTTGCTACTAAATGTATGCACTTTACAGACTTTACAGTGCAATTCTTTGTGTGAGGGTTGTAGTGAGGGGGTTTTGTGCTCTTGAGGTTTTTTTTGGGATGTGATGACAGGGTTGGGTTTTTTTTTAGTATAAAGTAGGAACTAACTGTGATTCTGGCACCAGCCTTTTCAAGCAATAACCATTTAAAGCCATGTTGTAATTAAATTCTACCTGCAGCCCAACCTTGTTCCCAATTGAACCCTGGAGAATAAGTTTATGGCTTTTTTTTTTTCCCCCCCAGTTTAAATCAGCACATAAATTTGCAAAGTGGAATTAATTTTGGGCCCTGTTTCCTCCTCCCCATATTTCTCACATTAAGTACTGTACTTTTAACCCTCGCTGGCCTCCTCAATTGATCAAATAAATGCAAATCAAAATTCCAGACTTGGTGAGATGCACAGGGAACTGCGGTGGCACCGTTTCCTTGAGCAACAGCAAGTAAAAACAATAACCTGCTCCTTGATAATTCATGTCTCAAACTCCATACCGCTTGCACTAAAGAGCAGGGTTCACAGAGGATAATTCCCTGTGATCCTGTGCAGATTCATGGAAAGTGATGCCATATTTTCAATGCAATAAGGACAGATGCTTCTCAACTGCTGCTCTGTAGCTGCCACCTCTTTCACCTCAAGCACTGGCAGCTCTTGGTTTGTGGGCTGTTTTTTGTTTGGTCAGCTCTGTTTTGGTGGGGTTTTGAAGCCTTTTTTTTTTTTTTTTTTGGCAAGGCTGAGCAAGAGTTGAATTGCAGGTGTCATCATAGCTACCTAGAGATCAAAGAGCATAAGGTACCCAGGGGATGTAGGAGAGGGTTTCTCCTTCAAAGTGAGAAAATAAACATTGCATTTCTTTCTTTCTTTCTTTCTTCCTTTTCCCAGGACTGGATAAGCACCTACCACCTGATATCTGGCATCTTACAGCAGTGTGCCCTCATCACCAATTTATGGCAATTTTTGGGGGTGACATTGCTGGCTGGAGCTGTTCCACTCTGCAGAAAAGAATTACAGATTTCCCAGGGCAAGATGATACGTGAGCAGAAACCATTTAATTTCCTTTAGTTCCATTTTAGTTTGCTGCAAACAGACCTCAAGCAATGAGGCTGGAAAGGTCTCTAATACCTTTATCTGACCAACTGAGAGAGGTGAGCAAGGAAAAAAAATGGACATTCCTTTGGACATACAGTGAAATCACTCTTTCTTGATGTTTAGCAGAGATCCTCCGTGTCCAAAATCTTGTCTCTTCTCCAAGTTGTGTCACATGGTCTAATGAAAAGTGTTAACTTTCCCTCCAGACCTCTCCTCCCTATTATTCTGCAGGATGTTTATACACCTACAGCAGATAATGTCCCCAAGAATTTATATGCTCAACCTGAAACCCTCGTAAGAGAAGTAATTAGACAGGCCTAATTAGAGCTGGCATGACAAAATTTATGTCCGTAAACCTGCCCAATTCTGCCCAGAAAGGCATTTTCAAAGGGCTCTGACTGCTGGATTAGTCATGCTCATTTTTCAGGTGGTGTATACAACTGTAGAATATTTAACCACCATTAAATGTTTTTCCAGCTGGAACTGTTTCGTGCAGAACTCACCCATTTAATCAATTTATCTCCTTCGTCGTGAGGTTACAACTGGTGTGACTGCAAAGAAGGGAGAGAAAAGGAGAAAATGAGATGCTCCATTAGAAAACACCATTCAGAAGTGACAGATTAAGCCACTTGAAATGAAGGCAAACGTGAGTGATTTGAAGGATATTTTATTTTATTCATAAATTGGATCATTGGCTGAAAAATAATCACTTGGTCCATCAAAGGCACAGCCCAGAAATGAGGTGGAGAGAGGAGTTAACAGAGGATGAGTAATGGAGGTAAGAGATCAAGCATGCAGGGATGATAATACAAGTTATTTAACACAGGAAACAATGGCAGCTAATGGTAATTAGCAGTAAAATGGACACATTTTTTCTCCTTAAAGATCTGGTGTTGGTGTCAGTGGGACTTGCCTGAATGCAGATCTGAAATGCTAACAAGAAAGCAGCAAAGAATTGTCAGAGCATCTCTTTTAGAGGGAGAAGGGAAGTCGAAGAAGATTAGAGGAAGAGAGATGAAAAAGGAATGTATCAGGAGAAATGTGCAGTCTTCATGTGTGTTTTGAGATCTCTCCTGTGCCCAGCAGAATAAAAGCCCCTCGTGAATGTAACTCTAGAGATCAAATTGCATGTTTTTAGCCCGTAGGTTCCAAATCACACAACAAATTGTTGTGAGATTAATTACACTCCAGAAAACAGTCCCTTATATGGGAGAAAACATCCTGAGTAATAACTCAGATGTTATTTTCAATATTATTTTGGGACATGATAAAGAATAATACATATTTATATTTTAACCTGCCTATTACCTGGATCCAGCAAATTGCCTGGATCCATTATCTGGCTTTTCTGCTCTGTTTCTTACAAGCTTAATTTGAAAGAAGCCATACATATATGGTATATATACATTAATATATGGGGTGTGGGTGCCTAACTCTGCAATCTGTAAAAGTAGAAAATATTTTCAGACACAGGTTATTCTATGTAGCAAATAAGAGGCAATAATTCAGCTATCAAGGATTCAATATTATTCACTCAGTCTGTCCTATCTCCATCCTTAGGAATGCTTATTCCTGGCAATAATTCTGTGCCCCAGTCCTGAAGGATGTGAAGCACAGGATTTCACATTAAGTACAGCTGTTTGTGGCTAGAAAGACATGTCACTCTGAGGCTTCCAGATTCAAATGAGAACTTCAATTTGTCTGGTATTAACATAAAATGCAAACACACCATCCTACTGTCAAAGCAGTTAAATATTCAGGAGTAAGACCGTGGTTAATAGCACATTAATCATTAACCATTATTCAGAGATAGTTTGGATCAGGCTGGAGGAATTATGGAAAGTATAAATGAGCTCTGAAAAAAATCAGCTGAGTTTGAAAAGATGTCCCTTCAGAGCCCCTTTATGAAGATATGAATAAGAGCTGGGTTATTTTGTTTTTTAGGGCTACACTCATTCCTATGTGAATATAGATGTCTTTTAATTTTATAGTAGGCCACTGGTCATAAAGATTTATTTATAATGCAGGTAATGGCTGAAAACATGTAATACTTTTTAAATTGTTTTAGGCGATGAGTTTAACTTCCCAGTCTAAAAATATTGACTGTAATTATTAAATGTTTAAGGTATTCTATGGTTAAAAGAAAGGTTTCTGGTGCATTGTTTATCATTTTCTTTGTTCAGCTTAATTTTCTTATTTTGAGGTATTGTTTTTTGTGGAGGTTTTTTTGTGTTTGTTTTGGGTTTTTTTTTAAGCAAATCCTTCTTAGATGATTCTGATACCTCAGAGGTAATTATTAAGCACCTGGCTTATATAAATTGTTGTCTTGATTCACATTCAACCAAACCATAATTGTAACATGTAACAGAAGGTTTTCTAGGATTCTGTTAAAATGCCGAGGTATTTGTGTGCTCCAGTTCTTCATATTCTCAGTTTTGTCTTGGTTCGTGTGGACTGCTTTTAAATTAATAAACAGGCTCATGGTGGGCCCTAGATAAGGTGCAAAAATTATGCTAAAATATGCAGCGATAATTGAGTGTCAGTTTAAGAACATGTTTCCCATTGAACAGGTGCCTGTTGTTTCCTGTGAACCTGAGGCTATGGTTAATACACTGTTAACAGGTTCCCAGGAGCTGCCATGCAGTTCACTTCACACTTGGACATTGCAATATTTGCAACAATTCACAGAGTTCAGAGATGTCCAGGAGCCTTTGGAGGGACAGCCAAGCGAAATGCTAATAAGGAAAACAGAGCACGAGTATGAGCCAGGATTTGGCTCTTGCTAGGCTCCATCAGCACTGCACAGCACTGACATGAAAAAAATAATTCTTTCATCTCTTACAGCCATAAACCAACAGGGATTTGATTTATTTATTAACAAAGAAATAACAATAAAATGCGAAGGAAGGTTTGAAAGAAGCCCACTGTGTTAGGCCAGTGACATGTCTCTTGAATTAGAACCTGTGAATGGGTCCTGCATCACACCACAGCTGTAGAGCACAGCAATCCAACATCAGATCAGTGTGTATCACCCTGCAGAGCCATCTGCAGTTCTGCAAAGTGTGGGGGGAAATATCGGTGAATGAAGCTGAGCTGATTCACAGCCTGGTGCTTTGGTGTAAATGCACCAACTACATCAATCTGTGCGGGTGTAAAGCAACAGAAACAGCCAACTGGACTTCCAAAACCTTAGATCAGTCAAGCATCAGATGCTAAAAACAACATCTTAGACCTGTGCCTTAGTTTTGGTTGCAACAGTAAACATGAAAGTTGTTGCTGTGTAATGAAAGACTGACCTCCACAGGGCAGAAATCAGAGCTGGCAGCTTTGGGGAGTTCCCACCCAGATACAAGACCCAGAATTCCAGGGAAAAGGCTTGAAACACCAACACCACCATCAAAATTCAGGTTGGCTTTTAGTCTGAAGCCCATCCTGGGTTTGGGTGTAAACAACTATTCTTAGCAAATCTCTGCTACTTAACAGTTTACATGATGTTTGTGCTATCAAAAATGAGGGGCAAGTTTTCACCATCTTGACTCCTGAGACAGCCTACTTCTAGACAGGTTAACTGCTGGATTGAGTGCTTAAAAATCAAACAAAAACAAGAGTCTAGCAGCCTTCTTCATTGGTGTTTCCTTAAGAGATTTGGCATCCTTCTTTCATGTCAATTATGAGAAGGAAAGCAAAACACTTTCCGTGAAAGTCTGGTTTATAACCAGTAAATGTTTTCTGACTCACAAGACATTGGCCAGCTTGTAAGGATGGTTCATGACACAGCAGCCTTGGGGAGAACAAACTAACAGGGATCTCCCAGGGGGAAAAGATGCTGCATGGCTGAGGAGCAAAGTGGGCTGAGAACTCCATTGTTAAGTCTTGGAGTATTTAAAAGTTATTTGTTTAAAGGAAAGATGCAGAGTGCTTAGAGTGGGTCTGAACAGAAACAAAGTGAGGGATGACTCTTATGGGGGCCATATATGAATCTATTCACTTTTTTTTTTATTATTATTTTTTTTTTTCCCAGGAGTGTTTTTCCAGACTGTGTGAAGACCCACATTAGAAAAGACTCCAGTTTCCTCCCCCACCCCCATTTCCTTTGAAACTAAAACAAAAAAATAGGACTCTCATCAAAACCCTGAAGTAGGAGAAAAATCCATCTGCTCAGCTAATGAAGATGACTGGTACAAGTCTGTGCTGATGACTGTCCCCACCTTCATCTCTTTAAAGGTATCAGAATTGCCCCAATTCCCATATTAATTAGTCTACAGTGCTGCTTAATTGCATCATAGTTTTTTTTTCCTTTTTCCCAATGAACTGAGCTTTTAATGAGTATCCACTGTTTAATAACCAATTAAAAGAATAGCCTACTATTTTGTGTGTGTGTAATAATGAAGCTCATCACCTTAACTGCTTATATTTATATATATATATACATACACATTTTGTTACTCTGATTTGAACAATTAATCTATTACACTCATGTATCTCTCTTTGTTAAGTGAGTTATACCTTCCCTAAATAATGGCACTTAAATGCACATGATGCCTCCCTCCCTTATTCAGCTTAAGCAGGATAAGACACAAAGAAGAGCTGCAGTAGCAAGAGGAGTTTGGAACTGAAGAAAGACCTGAAGAAAAGAAGCCTTGGGTTGGATCCCCTCAACCCCAGAAGACAGAGTTGAGTACAGCACACATTTGCATTGGCTTCAGGTGCTCATTTGCTGAAGAACAAAGTGCCAAGGAACAGAAATTAGGAGTGTGAGAAAGCACAGCAGCTCACCAGGTGTGCAGGTGAGGACAGACAGCTACGATTAAAAGCAGGTTCATTACAGAGCTGATAAGGGAGTAAGCCCTGATGGGTCTTTAACGAGGTGCCCAGCTGGAGCACCAGTGCTGGATGTCAGTGCATGGAAAACAGGATGAGAACTGTCTTGAGTGAGAAAGAGGGGGGAAAAGCCCAACCAAAACAACCCCCTTCAACATAACAGTGTTGTTCCCTCTGCTGGGGGTGGGTGTCTAATCACCTCGTAGCCATTGCTGATCAGCAGCACAGCAGAATGTGGGGCCCAACTCACACATCGGGGCTGATCCCAGCTGTGATACCTGGCAGGATTCTGGGGCAGAGGCTGACTCTGCTCAGCTGGCACATGGCAACAGGGCTGCCAAAACTCCTGCCCTGTGTCTGGGGGCCGAGGTGGCAATCCGTGCTCTGGGAAGGGCTCAGACCTCTTTAATCATCACACTGAGGTGGCTGTGTTTTTCCCAGGAGGGTAAATCTGCTACCAAGATGTTTTGGAACTGTGCCCTCTGTTTCTGTATTTCTCTTGCAGCTCTGTCCCTGCCACTGACACAGCGAGAGGGGGCATGTTGTGGTCTGATGTGTCTGGAGGCACAAGGGGACACAGCCTGGTGGGCACACACAGGTCAAACCCCTGCAGTGTGAGGGTGAGAGCTGCACTGAGCCCTTGGCAGGGCTGCAGGTACAGGGGCTCTGCCCAGCTCAAAGGATTTCTCGCTAGAACCATCTCTGTTTTGACTTCTCCAGGCAAGGATCCAAGAGCAAGCCATGTTCACATGGATTAATGCAGTTTTTGGCATTAGCAACGATGGGAAAAGTTGCCAGGCACCATGACTGGGCTTTTCAGCACTGGCTGGTTCTTACATGACATAGCTAAATGGTCTCAGCTTGCACATGTGAATTTAATGGCAGAAAAAAACCCTAACCTTGCCTTTAGACACACTGCCTTGTAACAAGGGTTATTCTAATTACTGCAACATATAGTTTCTACTGTCCTTTATCTATTCTGTCACATTCTCTATGATCCCCACATGAATTGCATGTTGTTCTTTTGTGTTTTGGCAATCAGTGCTATGAAAGGCTGAGAATCTGTTAATTGGGGCACCTGCTCTCTGGAGGCTTTGCTTGTTTTGCTCAGTATGAAACAGGATGACTATTGAGTTACCTTGGAGATACAGGAAAAATTTTAGTGTGCATTAGCTCAGGATGACTTTAAAGAAAAGAAATACTTTATGGTTATACAATTATTTTGTCAGTTGGGGAAGGGGGGGTTCAGCTGTTAGGCTTCTGGTGTTTTTAGTGATTCCAGTGGGAGCTGGGTGTCTAAATCCCACCAAAGGCCAACTCCCTTGGTGCTAGCCAAGCCAACACTGCACACTGGAACCCCAAGGCAGGTTATAATCACTGGTGTTAATTATATTACATACTTAATTATAAATGTCCAGCTCTGTTTTATGTTCTGAATTTTCAACATGCCTTGAAGTAATCAAGAAGTCTAAACACTTTTTCTTTTCTTGTTTTGGACAGTTTGTCATAAAAAGCACATCCAGCCACAGAACTGATGGTGATATCCCACAGTGGCACGTGGAAACAGTGAGTTGTGAAATGACTAATCAATAGTAAGATGTGCTGTTACCTACAGTGGAATTGTGCTGGACCAGAGTAACTCACTGCTGTGGTCCCAGGGGCAGTGAAGGTCACTGGGCACTGGGAGGTGGATGAGTGGAGTCCAGCCAGAAGCGTGGAGGTCAAGGAAGAGCATCCCGATGGCTTTGCAGCAGGAGCAATGACCCTTGCTCTGTTTCTGCAGGTGAGGAGGTTGTACTGAAGGCAGAAGGGACTGATCTGATTTACTATTGCTGCAGAAAAAAAATATAACTGGGTTGAAGAGTGCAAAGTTACCGACTCACAGCAGACTGCAACCCAGAACGTGTGGGGGTGGGTGGGACACAGGAAGGTTGAAAGGGCAGCGCAAAACTTCTATCTCCAGCTAAAAACCATTCAGCATTTTCTGTCTCTGTTAGTGTTTCATTGCTTATGGTTTCACTTTGTGCTGTTTCAAACACCTCTTTTAAGGCACGAGGCACAGCGTTAGTTTGGGACAATGATCTCAGCTGAGACCAAAGGAGGTGACACACTTTGGCTGCGGCTTTCAGGTAATGACCTTTTGCTCAATTACACCACGAGCTTCATGTACACTCTTTCATCCTCTACTTATTATGGACCACATGAAAAAATCCCTTTAGATTCAAAGGCCAATAAAGCATCAGCAATAGGCAGAAGCTGGAGGTGGGTCTCAGTGGCAGCAAGCTGCTGGGGCTTGTACTCAAACATTTCCTTCAACTGCTGCCCTCCCTCCCCAGCTTCCTCTATTCTCAGGTGGATTAAAAGGCTATTTTCAGGGATATTCTACCTTCATGTGGCTCTGTCACTTTAGAAAACTTCCTAGAGGATCTTAAAAAACAACTCGCAGGAATTTCAGAAAGCCAACAGGCTCTAACTTTATGCTGGAAGAAGAATTCCCTGGTAAAAAGATGTTTGTTCAGCCTGATTCTGCATTGTTTGTGCACTTTTTGTGTCTGGCTGTTCAGCAGATGGTGGCAGGTGGGAAAGGTGCTCAGGTGAAGCAGAAAGGAAGTGCAACAAAAATCCATTCAAGCTCCTGCCCACAGTCCAGGCTGGGAACATCTGACCTGAGTTTGGCTCAAGGCATCCTTTGTAATGGAAATGGACCTTCAGAAGGCAAATTATTGTTATTACCTGAATATTCAGCTGCTGCTTTCTTGTGTGGTCAAACCATCACTGGAAGTGTTCAAGGCCAGGCTGAGGGAGCCCTGACCAAGCTGGTCTGGTAGATGGTGTCCCTGCCCATGGCAGGGGGGGATTGGGATGATCTTTAGATCATTCAAAAAATGATCTTTAAGGTCCCTTCCCACTCAAACCCTTCTATGAGTCTATGATTCTATTTACCTCTCTAATCTTTAGACTCTTCTTCCAAACCTATGTCATGATGATGATGAAGGCTGTAATTTCTCTTTCTCACTAAGAGCAACCTGGGAATTTCTGGTATTTCCCAGGTTTTCCTAGTCCTTTGCCAGTAGTCCTCCCTTCCTGCTGTACTGCATCAGCAAGGTCTACGTCCAGACAGAAAGTAAAAGCCCATACATCATTTATTTGAGCATTTCACAAATAAATTACAAGTTTCTTTTGCAACCACGTCATAAATCAAAACGTTTATTTACACCTCAGAAACAGCAAGCAATTCAGCAACTAGGGCCCAAAGGAACGATTACCTGGAAAAGTAGCTGAATTAAGTATCTTTAAAATCAAACAAAATATTTTCCTCCTTGCTTGAACTTTTTAAAACAAAAAGGAAAGAAAATCATTTAAAAAAACCTAAAATAAATCTTGATGGCAACTTAAAAAGACAGAGATTGTTCTGGGGTAGATGTGATTTACAGGAGGGTTCTGTCTGAAATGGCAGTAACAACACAGCTTGTTTGTACTGAGTTCACCATCACAGTCCACCAGGCAGGGTCTTATTCTCCAGTCCCAGCCCCAGGCAGGGTGTGCATGGGACACACACACAGCCTGCCCTTACACTACATTCATTTTAACCCCAACTTATCAGGTACAGTCATTTGCTGATGCAGAGGAGGAGTGTAATGTTCAAGGCTGGATGAGACTTTCCCAAACAGCTGTCCCACTGAAAGCACAGGAATGCAGAATTCTGCCTCTAACCCCTTCCCTTTCCACTACTGGTGACCTGCTGATACACAGACAACTAAAAATGAGTCAGTAAACAATTATGCATATCTTCAAATGATATAATTATGTGAAGAGGGGACAGCTAAAGGTAGCATAAATACAACATGAGAGTTGGGATAAGTCTGGGTCTTACTAAGTGGGTTCTTTTGCCTGTTTTCCTTTGCTTTAAATCAGATTGGTCCAGCACACTCAACACATGCTGTCCCTTAACTCGCATTTTCATCCGTAACTGAGGGAATTAAACTGCTTATTCCAAGTCCCCACGCTGTATCAGTCTCCCTCCACCTGCATATATATTATATATATATATTTATATGTGTATATCTCTATCTATCTACATATATACACACATAGCAGTTGTGCAACCAGGAGCTTTCCACTGAGAGTGCGTGAGTGCATCCATTCCACGTGGGCAAACACAAACCAGCTCCTGTGTCCCGGGGGGAGGCAAAGAGAGGTGTGGTCAGTGGGTTATGTGCTTTATGTAGGAAATAATCAGCTAGATCTGGTTTAAATTAGAATAGTTGTAATGATAATTACTAATGCACTTTGCATGTTTAATTCTGAAGATTATAGACCGCAGAGTTAATTGGAAGAAAATAATTGCTGTTTTATTTATCTTTTTGTTGGCAGTGGACAGTATCTCTCAGACAGCTCAGTTTCTAGAGATTCAATAAAGGCAAGATAGAATCAGAGTGTTGCTTTAGACTTGGTGTTCTCAAGCTGATGTGACTTTAATATAATATATATTGTGAGAGTTTGTTTTTTTTTTTTAAATTAAATAAGACCTTATTGAATTCATTCTGAAAATAACTTAGCCTTTAGACAAAGTGTTGTAAAGTTATTTGTGTACAGATTTCTGCTGTTTCAAGGGGCTGAGTGCATTAGTAACATCTGAGAAGAAAATTGGCAGCTTTCTCAGTATTTCAGGCAGGAGGTCTTTACAAAAGAAAAGACAAATTTGCCAGTATTACATCCATCTTTTTGCAGTGATAAGACATTTAATCAAGGGCCCTAAAAACCTGATTGTAAGTCCATAATGTAATAGATGAGGTTTGTATTACGGTGATCCTGAACTTAAGTGACAACGCAAGGGAACAGGACAAATTATTTGGCTACAGCCACTTGAAATAAAGGTTAAACCCAATTACTGGGGGTGCCTCAGAGACACACTGAAGTGGTCAGTGAAGGACATGAGGCATCTGAGCTGTAGGTTCTTTGTATGCCACAAAAGGCAGACTTCTGATTCTGTGTAAGCACTCAGCGATCCTGTGACAAATATTGCAGCTTTCCTGTGCAGAGCCCACCAGTGAAAGCAATATGTGGGGAGGTTTAGATGGAAAATTTCATCTAAATATGATTAACTGGATCTCAGTGGCAGCAATGGAGTTGCTCTTTGATTTACAGCAGTGTAAACACGATGAGAACAGGGCTCAGAGGGTGTATTAGCCAGTGTTCCACTCTTACCTAATTTTCCTCCATACCCAGTAGGAAATTCAGCTCCTTTCCCTTTGTTTTACTTTTCAGACCTACAGTTACTGAACAAAATGCACGTAGATATCTTGTAAAAACACACACGTGAGGTGTACAAAGGGTTCAATTAGCAAGTACACCAAATATGAGACCTTTCTCTCACTCAGAAACTCCTCTCACTGATGGTTATTCCCAATTTTTGTTTCAACAGCAGATGGTCTTTTCAAGTGAAATGATTTTTTAAGCAAAAAGTTTTGTGCATGATAGAAAATGATAATCAAGTTCCCTGCCTTTCCAACTCTAGACAGCATTATATATCTACAAACATGGACTGAAGTAAATGTTGTAGTGATTAAAATAGCTACGTAGGAATAAGTGATATGTTATAAAAACAGCAAGCTCGGCTCAACAAATGTTAACCATAATTACTTATTAAAAAAATACAACCAATTTAGTAAATTTTCTACTTTTTTTCTTTATATTATAGTAGAGAAAACCCCCAAATAAATTATTGTTGCTCCTTTGTTTCAGGAAACGGGCATGGGTTTTTTTGAGCCAGAAGATGACAACCTTCTTCAGGTAGGAAATCTCAGCTTCTGATACAGTTCCTCCTCGTGTAACGCTACAGGAACGTTCTCAGGTACAGAGAGGGAGAAACATTAACATGGCAGCTTCAACTTCTCTTTGCATGCTTGGGCAGTGCAGTGATTAGCCCTGTGTGAAGCCCAGAGACACCTGGCAAAGGCTGGGAGGCTTTGATGTGGGTGCAGAGATGAAGGTGACAACGTGACTGAAGGCTTTGATGCATCTCGGTTCAGACTTTCAGCCACGGCTCCGACCTCTCTGCACGTCAAAAGCTCGCAGAGTTATCCGAGAAGAAAGACCTCTTGTCCTTGGGCACAGAGTGGTAGAAAGACTTCTTGCCATTGTTAGCGGAGTTCCAGGCAGAAGAGCTTCTCCTTTGTTCCTCGTTTTGGATGGAACGATCCGAAAAATGCTCTGTGAGCCTTGGCTTAGAGGAGAGAAGGGACAGCTTTCTCTGGTACTCGACAGAAATGACACCAGTGTCAAGGGGTGTCTTTCCAGGGTTTTGCTGGATAGGGAGAGGAAGAAAGCAAGTAGAAAAAGAGTATTTGTGGGGGAGGATATTATAATTTCTTTTATTGAAGATAGAGGTTTTGTAGATCAAAGCACAGGGTGCAGAAAATCTTTGGGTGCAACATACATGTCGGAAATTCAGTGGTGTTATACATTGGTTGAGTTTTTTTTTTTTTCCTTTTGAAAAATTTGCTCGAAAAGAATTTTTTTTTTTTTTTTTAAAAAAGACGTGTGATTGTTGATGACAAAGCAGCAGCATATGGTTATTACAAGGCATGGGCACAGAAAGAGAACCAGAAGCTTGCCCATGTTAATGTTTGAGATCAGGCACTTCCCTGCTGGAATGCCTGCAGCTGCCAACAGCCCATTCCTGATGTCCTTGGCCAAGAGAAGCTCCCCCTCAGCCCGAAGTACCACTTTGGTAACTGAGACACCGAGAGCCTCCTGCAAGAGAAACGGGGTCAGGGGGAGGTTTTACTTGGTCAGAACTGCAGGAGTTCAGCTGAAAGGGAAAAATAAGTTCCCGTCTGAAGGCAGCTCTTATCTTATCAAGAAATCTACAACGTTAGGAAAGCTCACAACACAAACTCATTTTTCCTCTGTCGCTGTTGTTATTACTCCTTTTGATTAAAAAAAAAAAAAAAAAGAAAGAAAGAAAGAAAAAGACCTGTTTTCATATTTGGTACAATACAGGAATTCAGAGAAAAGCTATTGTACAGCAAATTTTAACCACCAACACACATTTAATATCTAGTGTAGCATTATGGAAAACTAAATGTATGTTTGGACTTTTTGATGCTTCCAAAAATCTTTACTATTGAAACATAGACGTGGTGGGGAAGATATGCTCATAATCTCACTGTAGTAAAGATGACATACAGTATGACTCATAAGTACTGTAAAAATGCTAACTAAAGAATGCAGCTGCAAAGTTCTATTGCATAAGGAAGCTTTCTTGTTTAAACTTTAAATAAGCAAGTTTATTAAAATATTCTAAGACACTTACCTTACCCTAGTTACTGGCAAGCTCTAATAAAAGCCACAGTCTGTCACTAGTATACTTTTTTGTGTTAATTTTATAAAAATTTGGTGTGAGCTTTGATGGACCATTTACAATTTATTAACAGGATGACCATCTTCGTACAGTTAGAAGGGTTTTTCTGACCTTACATGCTCACAGAATAAAAAAAAGGATCCATATTCCTATAGAACGAACACCCTTTGTTTTTTTTGTTTTTTTTTTTTCCCATGTCTGCAAACAAGTGTGGTAAGTTTACACACACAAAGAAATGCTCTTGTTACTCTTAACTGGAAACTGTGTGTACATGTGTATGTATGTATATATATATTCAAAACCATATATCTGTGTGTTTGTGAGGATATTCATAGGATGGGGCATCTGGGACCTCCTGGCGCTGACGTGCGGGACGAGGCGGCGCAGAGGCCGAGGGAGAGACCAACGCTCTGGGAAACACCGAGCTTTAGCTGCTTGGATCAACTGCTCACCTGCAGGTACCTGCCCACCTCCCCCTGTCTGCAGAGCTGACAAGAACTGAAATGTTGCCAGCAGCGCCTCTTTAGCCCCTCTAAAATCAGGCCCAGCGCTGCCCTCGCTGTTGGCGGTGACCCTCCCGGTGGGTCGCAGCTGGCTGCCCCTCCTGGATCATGAACTCCTTTTGGGGCAGAGGGAAAGCAGTTCAGATCAGGAACAAGCCCAGGGGACTTGTATTTCTTGTTTGCTGAACCTGAGGTACGAGAAGAGCCACGTCAGAGCCCTTGGCCTGCCTGGTTTGTGTCAGCACAGCGGTGGGATGGCAATGGGACCTCTCCTCCTGGCCACACTATGAACAGCAAATACAGTAGGTTTAGCCAGGGTAGAACAGGTTCAATTCATCTGTGGCTGTATTATTCTGCTTTCTCCCTTGATCCAGATGAATATTTTATAAAAGCTAAACCTGTGGTAGAACTCTCTATATAAATATATATATATACATACACTCATACATATACAAATACTAACCCACAGACAAAATATTTTCTGAACAGTTGAATAGCAACAAGTCAACAGATAGAAAAAAATGGAGTCAATCTGTTTTCTGCTCCCCCAAGGTCGGGTTTAGATGTCATGGTCTTTTAACATTCAGAGAAAATTGGCGTAAACCTGGTGTCTGGCAAGAGGAATCCATGGATAAAGGGAAGTGGGGCACAAGCCCTCAAACACCAAGGTACAGTCGGACAGATTAAGTGAGGTTGCAAATTAAACTGGAGCAACTGAGGCCGAGTAGTGAAGAACAGTAACTGTAAACTGCAATCTTCAGATCTGACGGTTTCCTTCTTCTCGTTGCCATGGCAACTCGGTAGGACAGCTTCGAGTGGCAGGAATTCTTACAGACCTAAAGGAGGGGAGATGGGGGTGAGTATTGCTATGCAAATCACAGGAGCTTTTAACCCTTGGGTTTGGGTTTTTTTCCCTCAATTAAATCACTGACAGAGTGCACATACATTGCCAGTAATTAAATATAAATTATCTGAGTTCAGAAGCAATTATTTGTAAAGGTAGAAATCTCCAAGAGGAAACCCCCAAATGTCACCTGGGGCATCCAGAGACATTGCAGAACAATTCCACAGGTTGTAGTGAGGAGGTGTGAGCGTAAATCTTGAGCCAGGACCTGATTGTCCCCCTCTGACACCTCGGTCGGTTCCACCAGTGCAAGAGCACAGGGAAATGCCAGTGAGTCCCTCCCTCATCTGCACATACACTGACAAGTGAGGAGTAAACAGACATCTTTTGAAAAATAACACACTTATAGTGCCTTAGAGTTTATGAATAAATCAGGGAATAAAAAAACAGTGCATCACATTGATGTTGCCACAGAAGTGTAAATCTCATGTGGATTTTTTTTTTATTTAAACAGAATTATTTATTTATTTAAAAGTGTCACAACTTGAATTCTTTTACCTATTTTAGATGGGCACTCTGATGATACCAAGGCAGTAAAGAAATTCGGGAAAGAGAATTTAGGAGCAAGAGCAACATTAGTTGTAGCTAATGTGTCATTTTCCTGCAATTTTGCTTAGACACCAGTAAATTGCAAATATTCAGCTTTGCAGTAAAACCATGTAAGAATAGTAAGAACAGTGTTGGCAAAATATATAGTTACACTGGATTGTTTCTGAAACAAAACAGAACTTCTGACTTTACAGTGTTTTATTGTTGTGATTTTGGCTGGGATGGAGTTAATTTTCTTCACAGCAGCTCTTACAGTGTCGTGTTTGGGATTTGTGCCCAAAACAGTGTTGATAACACACCAGTATTTTATTTATTTCTGGGCAGTGTGTACACATCAGGGTGTTTGCTGTTTCTCCTGCTGCCCCACCAGGGAACAGCCTTGGGGGACACAAGGACACAGCCAGGACAGCCAACCCCACCTGTCCCACACCATTTGGTGTCACATTCAGCCTATAAACCAGGGGAAAGACACATCCAAACTCAGTCAGAAAATGTTTTTCTAATTTCTATTGCATTTTTACACTTAAAAGATTCAGTATCAATACTTTTGACACAACCACAGACACATGCAGCACAAACAGGAACATAATGGTCAGTGTTAGGTGCTGCTTGTACACTTCAATAAGTTTTAATTATCTGTTTGTCCTTTGGGGCAAATCAATTAATATCATTATTGATTGTTTTACTTTATCTGTTTCTTTCTTGTTATTATTTGATTTGGCCTCAATATTGAATTTTTCTAGCTAGGGCTTGTCCAGATGGGTTGAGCAGCAAAGCAGACACCTGGATTGCCCTCACCTGCCTGGCCTTTCCCTGCAGCAGCACCTCAGCTCTGGAAAACAAAGGTAAATAAAGCAAATTATTATTCAAGTGTAAGAAATCTATGGAGGGACTGATGGATGAGGCTCACTGAAGTGAGAAGTTTCACTGAGATTTCCAAACAAGCTGAAATCTGGAATTGCTTGGCATATGGATTTTTAGCATGCTGCTTAAAGAAAAGGTCTGGCCACAAAATCAGGATCCTGACTTACATGTAGGAGATTTATGGCCATGACTGCCAAAGGGTGGATGTATTTGGATTAGAGATTCCAGCTAGGACTAAACTTTCATAAACAACCTGATCTCCTGGGTGGTGCAAAGAAAGAGTTTGGGACTCTGATCTCACAGAGCACCTGAAAAATAGCATTTCCAGATCTCAGTGAAGCTTAGTGTCATTAAAGGGCATTTGTTTAAACCTGGCTCAAAAGAACTATTGGATTGGCAAAGCTACTCTGAATCCTTAGGAGATCCCTGGAGGTCTTCCTGGTAAGGACAGGCACTTGTACATGATAAATGAACAGCAGCTGTGGCACTGGATTTCTGTACAATCCATAGATATTTCACCAGAGGAATCTGTCAGCACGAAATTTATAAGTATCACACAAATTCAAGCAGCCAGTGACTGCTTCACCAACAGCTTGTAAATAAAGGGCAGTATTTGGTGATTTATGTGCAGACCTGAAGAAAAGCTTGTATATTTTACATCATATTGACAGATATAATGAATGTTACTCCCTTCTCATACACCTTGCCTTTCCTGAGTAAACAATGTATAAAAACTGGTTAGTTCAGCCTTAATTATGAATCTGTTCTCTCCTGTGCTAGTTCTTTGTGTTGAAGGCCGGTTTCCCTCTCACACAATATAAACACTTTTTGATCCTCCCTGTTCCCCCATCTGCCTTTTCAAACACCTCCTCATTCCTTACCCTTTTACCTCAAAGCTCTGCAGTCCCTGCCTCGACTTTCTTTCTACAGAAATTGCTTCTCAACTTCACCTTCCTGACCTATCATCCCCCTTCCACCCATTTAATCACGTGCCTGGAAACCTGACGTTCCCTTGTCTCCTGTAATTATCTCCTCCTGTCATTTTACTATAATTTCTCTAATCATTTTTCCATCTTGTCCTTCTGTCTCATCTCTCCATTCCATTTTTTTGGAAAACCTTTTTTCCCCCCTCTTTAACTTCTTCCCTTTCTCTGTGACTCTCATTCCTACCCCCTCAGCAACCACATCAGTACTGACACTATAAAGATCTTCCTCTCTTTTCCTGCTTTTCCATTTAGTCCAAAATGTCAACCTCTGGCCCTGATACCTTTTGCATGTTTAGCTGACAGCCCTGCACAGCTAAAACTCAGCTCTTAAATTTTTCCCCTAAAGCACTTCCTTCTAGTTCTTGCTTTGATTGCTCAGGACAACATTATCATCCTGCCTCTTGTTCAAGCCTCGAAACAGAAGCAAAGGGCAGGAGGTTTTTGTCATGGAATCTCCTTTCCAGGTCTGTATAGTTAGGTTGTGTCAATCTGGAGGATTCTCTTTCACGCATTGTCCCAGAGAGCTTTCTCTAGCCATTCAAACAGCTAAATCTCCTACCAGGCTCTCCTCAGTGAGCAGGTTTGCAGCATCTTTTCTGAGCCCCTGACAAATTGAAGCTGCTGTGTGCTCATATCCTGTCAGGTTTTGCTGTACAGAGCATTTTCCTCGTCTGCCACTTTGACAAAACCTCTGCAGCTGTGACTCCTTCACGGCCTCTCCCCTACTGCACAGATGTCCCTGGATTATCTCTACATGACCTGTTATTCCTCTCATTCACAGCCCACGAGTGCAGCTTTCATTGACATGTTTCCAAAGAAACCTGTGATGTAGGAGGAGCTTCCTGCAAGCCCCCAGAAAATGCTGTCTCCTAACAGCTGCTTTTGCTCAATAATGATGACTGACCCTTTTGTAAAGGTGGATTGATGAAGGAGTGGGATTTGCCTCGAAAATTCAGATTCAACATGCCAAATTATGGGCTGTAAAGTTTCAGGAGATAACCAGCTTTGGTAGGTGAGGATACACAAGTTCAAATCTATCTTGGCTCTTTCTGCTGCACATGAAGTTGATCAAAAATTGCTTCTGTCCTATAGAGAATTGTAGCCTAAATTTTAGTTTCTGTGGTTTTAATAAGAGAGTGTCAGTTACTGATTTTTTTTCTACAAATAGTCGGATATAGTCATATAAAGAGTTATTGGCCAAACATTCTGGCCAGTTACAACCTTAAAACAAAATCTGCAGAAATCAAGAACAACCAAAGATTGTACAGAAAAATCAATGTTGAATCTGCTGAAACCGACACACCTGCTCTGTTATAAAATCTGATAAGCCTCTGCTCCATATTCAAAATCTCTCTCCTCCCAGATGGATTTCCAATGTCTGTTATTTTCCCTGTAGGAATTGCAGTTTTCTTGTTTGCTTTTCTTTTTCTTTCTTCTCCCCGTAGAGGAGAACCAAATGAAAGTTCCAGAAAAACACACACCCAGCCAGATTATTAGGCTTTACTTATTAGAGCCCTGTTTCTAAACAGCTGTCCTAAAGAATCCTAGTGTTTATCCAGTACTTCAATGGGGTTGTATTTGTTTTTCATTTTTTTAACCCATTCTTATGTATTTTATTACACACATGATTTAATGTCTGCAGATGGCAATCAATCCATAAAAGATATTAGTACTTAAGGAATACTGTGAGCATAAAATGTGCAAATAATATGTGGAAGAAGCACATTTGCTGATCAATGTGAGCAATCTCTTTTTAAGAACTTAATGCCCTAGTAAACCTGTGCCTGGCAGATCAGCAGACTGATGATGATTATACCTAGTAATTATTTTATTTTCTCTTTATTAGCTCTGTCTCCATAACTGGTCTCAGCACTCAAGAATTATTACAACACCCTGTGTTGTTTCAGACGTGATTTCTGTACCCACAACAGGTAATTTGCTGCCCAGAGCTGGAGACCTGCAAGCCACAAAGGTGGGGGTGCATTGCTGCTCTTACCTGGCCACCCCCCACCTTTCCCTTAAGGTATCTGGGGGATGCACAAGCACCACTGAGCCAGCACATCTGTATGTGACTGATTTCTCCAGAAATCCCTCTCACTGAAGGCTCTAATGTGATCTCCACTAATTTTATCTCACAGTTCTCTGCTCTACCTCTTCAACACTTGAGAGGTACATTCAGCCATGTTCCTTTGGAGATAACAGTCAAACAGCAAGATAACAGTGAAAAAAGGCAGGGTTATTGCTCTGTGTTTGCTGTCAGAATTATTACTGTTCTGGGTAATGGGCTCAGATAAGGAAGCAGAGCACATTACAAACAGCTGCTGTCTGTTGGCACTGGTGCTCTGGCACTGGAAGATGACGTTTGCTTTTGCTGGTCAAGAAATCTGACAAAAGTTGTACATGTTTATCTGGATCTGATGTACTAATGGCATTATTAATAGTTAATTATTATTAATAATAATGTTATAGGAATAGAGGGTTAGGTAGATGGTTTAGGGAAGGGAGACTCGTAATTTAGCAACTTAAATGGAATAAACACCTGTTTTTATTCCCACTGAAGTCTATTGATGTTGTCTGTGCTTGGAAGCTCAGAAGAGTTATTGATCTTGGTCACAAACTGCACAGGACAGACCTGAACTGTCACTGGTTTGGAAAAGGTGCAAGCCAAGTGTTCATAATACTGATTTTTTTCTTCAAGGACTACAGCTACCTGCCTGTTTCACAGAGGGCTAACTCAAGGTTTACTCCTCATGTTGATCCCCATGAGAGAAGAAACTGGAGGAAAAAAAAATGCACAGAGCACTTTAAGACAAAGATTTCACAATGCTCCATCCCAGGAAAAATGCAGCTGGTAGCCTGTAACCTCATTCACTGTCTGTCAGGTTGCCAAGAGCTCATATTCCAGTAGAACCCTTCCCATCAGCCACTAAGCAGCTCCTGATCTCAGGAAATGCTTTGGAATGTCCCAGGTACTCCAGCCCTCCCTGCTGCAGCCTTAGCTTTCTCTGAACATATTTGTATTTTAGTGACTCAATTCCCTGCTTATTTTAAAGAAACAGGTCTAAACTGAGTAATTAAAAGCCTCTGAAAGATGTGTCCCTCATGAGACCAAACTCACCCCCCGTTACACAGACTGTGCTTCTACACTGCAGTTAAAACCTCATAAAAATTAAAGGCATTTAAGTTTCACGCTGACCCTCTGCATGGGAATGAGCTTTATCCACGATGCATTCATCCTTTCATTCCCATTAAAATAAGAGATTTAATGCAGCTAGAGCTCGGAGTTCAGCTCATGCATGCTCCATTTCTTTCAATTACCCTTTCATCAGAAATATTATATTAATTTTGCATAATTAAAAGTCTGCATTACATCATGGACTTTATGGAAACCCCAGTAATGCTAAAGAGGTGATGCAAAAATGAGAGAAGAGATCAGAGCTGCGTTTCTGATTAGGCAGCTAATCAACAGCCAGGTACTTCTTTCCTGGATTTACCATCTACAAAAAGGTCATTAATTAGATACACAGTCATTAGTTTAGCCTTCATATAGAACTCAGAGAAACAGAAATTTTCATGTGCATCACTGGTTGATGAGTCACCTGTAGTTTTCAACACCAGAAGTTTCACAGTGTTTGTACCATGTGCCTTTAAATTAAATTTCACCCCAAATCTCATTGGATTTGAAAGACTGACACAACTTTTCCCAGATGTGTCCTCATTCCTGCAATTAAGAACTTTGGGGTTAGTTGTCAGCCAGAGCAGTAGGTCTGATTGTGGCTGGAGAAACTGGTGATCTCACCGGGCAGGAGCTCCCTGTGGAAAAGTTTATAAGGAAAACAGAAGTAAATGACTTTGTCCCGAAAATTTGCAGCTAATAACATAACAAGTAATTTGTTTTCCTTTTATGTGAGAAATGATTTTGAAGCTCTTAATGGCAGGAAAAACACTGTCTGCATCAGTGCTGTGTGTGAGAAACGAGTGTCTCGTGGCTGTACTCACAGCTCCAGTGGGCTCTCCTATATCAATGTCAATATTTAACAGGCACTAAAATGCTGCCACGTGCTGTGCAAGTGGCCAAAGTTGGCAAGGCAGTGGAGAACACACGCCAATCCAAACTAATCAGCCTGCACAAGGAAAAAAGTTGCTCAGGCTGAAGCCATTTCCACTGGGTACCTCTTTGACACCAGCAGATGGTATTTCCAAGAGTGGGTCTCCCACTCCTCACTTATTTATTGTTAAGACTGGAGTGGCAGATGTGAGGCAGGGCTGATGTAACACAAAGTGCTCTTCTGGCTCCTGGCAATGGCCCTGCTCGCTGCTGATCCTGCTTTCTGCTTCCCCTCCTCCTTGTTGGGTACCCACGGACACCCAGTGTGGAATGAGCTGGTCCCAAGAAATGCATGAAAGAAGCACCATCCAAGAGAAAAGCTGTTCAGATGAAGGAAAATTCTAGGCCTGCTTAGAAATTCAGCAACATGTTCTACCCAGCCCAGTGCACTGCTGCACTTATCAAATAAAGCATCTTCTAATGAAATTCCTGCTCACCAGGGATGTGAAGTGTCTTACTGGGAGTGGGGGCATTTTCTAGGGTAGAGTCACTAAGATGTACTAGATGATTATTTTTTTAAAACTGATATGAATTTTGGTTGGATACTTTGCCAAAGCAATGTCACCTTCATTTATCCAATAGGGAATAAATGCTTCCTTCATTTTCCAGTTTTCCATCAAAACTAAACAATTGCAGAGGTGGCTGCCTGCAGCCTGGACTTATATTTTCTCCTGCTCTAATCTGATATATTTAGCTGAATGCTTGAAAATATTCAGCGAGTGAAATGAATAAGTGCAGAATAGAAACAGCAGCACTGAACAAGTCTCCTGATTTTTCATATTTATGCTGAAAAATGAAATGCATCAAACGTACCCGTGAGCCAACCTTTTAAAGGGGTGGGTGACTGCTCAGGCAGGCAGAGCTCATCTTCCACAGCAGCACAGCTGATTTTACCATCAGTTTTAAATAAGTAGAACATGAACATAAGCAGTCCAGACACATTCAGTTCTGTAGGTGTAGACTAATCCCAGCTTGAAATGCTAAAATAATCATCTGAAGAAATTCTTTTTTAAGTAAGAATAAAAAAAAGTTGGGGAAAGCATTATGCTCAGAAGCCACAGAAAAGGGAAGATCAAATGAGCAAACTGCCAGGTTTGGCTGTGTTGAGATCAACCTGGCCTGCTTCAAAGTTTGTTAAGAACTATTCATAAGCATGGCACTCACATAAGTACTAACTAATGACATATCCAAACTAAACATATGGATGAAGTGAGGCTTTAAGATGCAGTCTGAAACACTCCAAACATCAACAGCACTTTAGTCAGTAAAGAAGAAGCAAATCCAACATCATCAAACTTTTAGGCACAAAAAAAAATCCCCTCCATCCGTCTTTAGTATCACATCTAAAACTGAACAGCAAGACACTGAGTTGTTTGGATGTTACAGAGTGGGGAAATATCCAAGGACAGAGACAGTGAAAAGAAACAAACACCCCATGGTGTGCAGGGAGCGCTGATGACAGGAAAAAAATACTTAACCCAGTCATCTATTCAGTTCCAGTTTTTAGTCATAGGCCACTCCAGAACAATTCAGACGAGAACTATCTGAAGTTCCATATTCATGTGACTTTAAGAGGTTGTTCAGAAAAGAAATGCAAAATATTGTATCTCACCAGTAAGTGTGGAGTACTGTCGAGAAAATGAAAACATAAAAGTGTTCATTTGAATTCACAGCACTAAATGGCCTATCAAACCAATCTCTTTAAATGTCCATTTCATGCCTGCACAATGACCATCAGGAGCAGTATTGCAGCTCTTAGGGAAGGAGCTGTATTTGCTGGAAACATTGTTCTCTTTTGCACTCCAAACACACATCTTCTAAACTGTTGTATTTTAGTTTTTTTTTCATGTCTGTACTCCTGGAACGTGTTTGGCTGCTTTAAAATGTGCGTAAAACGCCATTTCCCACCTAATTGACTCAATAAAATGTAATGCCATTAAGAGCGTTTTGGACATGCTGATGTACAATTGGGGGGGTTATTTCTATTTGTCATGTCTGTATGACTGGGTGTATAAACATCCTGTCTCCAATTATGGACATCCATATGGACCTTCTGTGCCATTTCAAGCCCCATTAACTTGAGGTGGGCTCCCAAAGCCAAGTGCAAATACATGGCAGGACTGACTAAACCTGCAGAGAAATCAGAGGAATGGACACAGCTCTGAGTTAAAAAGTGAGATTTAAATCAAGGTTGGCTCAAATCGAATGAAATCCCTTAACCCCCAAACCATCCTTTCCTTACTAGAGTTTAATCAACCAAAATCATTAAGGAGACCAATAACAATGGCACTTTTCTCATCCAGGCATTTGAAAAGGCCTCTGTATCACTGATATTTAGCAGTAACAATAATAATGTTAATATGGATCAAAGCCTCTGTAACAAAGATAATAAGCATTAAGAGTAATAGTGGATATTTCTGCTGTTGTTATTGGTTTGGGGAGGTGAGATTTACATCACTGGAACACACTAAATGTCAGTAATCTACAAATACTCAGGGAGCATAATTTTCTGCTACTTTAAGTACCCACATTGTATGTGTTCTATCACAGAGTGTAACTCAAATCACAATAGTGCAAAATAAACCTCACCCCAACAAACCACCTCGAACAGCAAAACTCTTCCTATCTTGGTAGTTTTTTGAAATTCTAGCCAATACAGGCATATTTCACTTCTCAAAAATGGGAAAATTTATCTTGCAAGCTTCCCTAGTCTTGCTAATTAAACTGATTTCTTTTTTTTAAATTAAATACCGCTGCTCTGA